TTTCGGTGAATGCGGCGCTGAAAGTGATGTCACGTGCGCGGCATTCGCACCGGGTGCTAAATGATTTGACGAGGAGTGCAAAGCTATGTTGGGCCAACTAGGTTTGTAGCTCTCCGCTGCAATGGATCTCCCATGTGAAACCCGCTTCTGGCTGCAGTCCTTTTGGCTTCTCTATGTATTACCGCTCTGTTCTTCTTTACAGAGGAGCGTCAGCGATAAACTGGACGTTGATTGAAGGTGATAAGGAAGCTGGACTGAGTATCTTCTGGGCTGATGATGGCCTTGACACTGGACCAATTTTGCTGCAAAAGACATGCAAGGTCGAAGAGAACGATACATTGAATTCGCTCTATACAAGATTCCTGTACCCAGCCGGAGTCGCTGCTATGGTAAGCAATTCAATTGCCTTCTTAAGGGCAAAAGTGAAATTCAAAGGCTACTTGTTTGATTCTGTAGGAACGCGAGTGTTTTGTGGGTGGCTATCGCAACCCAAGGTAGCCCTTATGCGATAAGCCCTCCCCTCCTCTTACCATTATTACAACAAATCAATTGCACGGCGCAACCCAAGAAAGTGTTTTTCACAAAAAGCGAAAAATGATTTCCAGGCAGAAGCAGTGGATTTGATAGCCGCTGGAAAGGCTCCGCGAATCGTTCAACCGACCGAAGGCGCTTCTTATGAGCCATACATCACCGCCAAACCAGAGCTCGCCGAAATCGACTGGAAAAAGACACAGCAACAACTGCACAACTTCCATCAGGGTAACGATAAGGTAAATAGAATAAACATGACTATTTATTTGCGCCCCCAGGATCAGATTATGCCATTGTAATTCCGTAGTTAACGGTTATGTCCGCTATAAAAGCGAGAATGAGAGGGTGTTGTAGCCGGGGCCGCCGCTCCCATCAAATGATGCCATCCTGAGGTCGCAACAATTGGCGGGAGACCAGGCTTGGCTGCGCTCCATTCTACGCCCCTCTTCACTTCAAGGAAACTGTCACCTTTGGTGGTTAATGGCATGACTGCAATGTCCCAAAACGAAAAATTCTTCCCGAAAGCGCAACCGCCCACCACCCCCGACGCTCAAACGAATTACGCAGGCGCCCGTTGCTGCAATCCACACCCTTTCTTCGCCTTATAAACGCCCGAGCTCGGTTGAGCACGGAGCTCTATATGGAACCCTTCAGGAGGGTTTTTCTGCTTTTTCTCCATTTTGTGATATTTGCAACCCTGTTGGTGGTGTTTACAACTAACAACATACCATTTTTTGACGCGGGGTGCCTCTGAGGAAATGGGTGACCGTGCAACTGCTGACCGCAGTTCGTGTTTCCGAAACAGTTCGAAAATACTCACCCAACGGCCATCGCTTCCTGGCAACAAGAGCCCAGCCTCGTGAACGTAGACCTTGCCACCGGGTATCTCGGCGACTTCCACTTCACGAGAGTCTGGTGGCGGAACTTTGCTACGCCACATTTTGCTTCCGAACATAGTGACTCTCTCGCCGTTCATTGTGGCCCATGCTCCTGGCACCTGCAACGAAATGAGTACTAATATGAACTTTAACTATTCATTTTGCCTACTACGAACGGCTGTGCTCCGCACATTTCCGCATCTTTTTTCACAAGTACTCGATGATGTAACAGTAAGTTCATTTTTAATCAATCATATATTCTGTTTCCTGAGTCGGGAAAAGTATGCTGAAGAATCCGGAGCCCAAAAGGTTAAAAAAAATTCAGCGAAGCGATGCTTCTCATAGATCCGCATTTACCTAAACTCCAAAATCCTGGGATGCAGTAACCGCGCTTGCGTAATTCGTTTGAACGTGGGTGGTGGGCGGCTGCGCTTTCGGGAAGATATTTTCGTTTTGGGACATTGCAGTCATGCCATTAACCACCAAAGGTGACAGTTTCCTTGAAGTGAAGAGGGGCGTAGAATGGAGCGCAGCCAAGCCTGTCTTCCCCGCCAATTGTTGCGACCTCAGGATGGCATCATTTGATGGGAGCGGCGGCCCCGGCTACACACCCTCTCATTCTCGCTTATAGGGGGACAATAACTGTAACTACGGAATTACTAGTGCATCTGCGCAAGTAAAATAATCATGTTTTTATTTACCTTATCGTTACCCCTGATGAAGTTGTGCAGTTGTTGCTGTGTCTTTTTCCAGTCGATTTCGGCCAGCTCTGGTTTAGCGGTGATGTATGGCTCATAAGAAGCGCCTTCGGTCGGTTGAACGATTCGCGGAGCCTTTCCAGCGGCTATCAAATCCACTGCTTCTGCCTGGAAATCATTTTTCGCTTGCGATAGCCACACAAAACGCTGCGCTCCCTACAGAATCACAAACAAGAGCTTTAATTTTCACTTTTGCCCTTACGGAGGCATTGGAATTGCTTACCATAGCAGCGACTCCGGCTGGGTACAGGAATCTCGTATAGAGCGAATTCAATGTATCGTTCTCTTCGACCTTGCATGTCTTTTGCAGCAGAATTGGTCCAGTGTCGAGGCCATCATCAGCCCAGAAGATACTAAGTCCAGCTTCCTTATCACCCTCAATCAACGTCCAGTTTATCGCTGACGCTCCTCTGAAAAGAAGAACAGAGCGGTAATACATAGAGAAGCCAAAAGGACTGCAGCCAGAAGCGGGTTTCACATGGGAGATCCATTGCAGCGGAGAGCTACAAACCTAGTTGGCCCAACATAGCTTTGCACTCCTCGTCAAATCATTTAGCACCCGGTGCGAATGCCGACGCAGCGTGACATCACTATTCAGCGCCGCATCACGAAATCGTGTATCCACCATACAGAACCCTTATTGGCGTCCTGGCCGTTGCGAGAAAATTTCGCAAAATACAGACACTCTTTCAGACTTTCTTCCCTGAACGACTTCCTTCTCCCCCTTCCTCACACCGTCTGCCTAACTACCACCTGTAATACCTCCCAACTTGCTGTCATCTTTCCCACAATATCCTTTCCGGAGATTCTCAAGAAACTGGTTCGCTCAAGGAATCGGAGCAGCGGCGGTGAGAGCAGTCCATCTCCAGCTACCCAATACGCCCCTTCCTCTTACCCCCTCCCCCTCGTGTGGATGATGTGTCGTTGGAGGAGACACTCTTCCGCTGCTGCCCCCTGCATGGTATTCTCTGATCTGCCGACGCATTTATGGCGGCCTTCTTGAAGTCTTTCGTATAATACTGTTACATACCTGTGTCTTTGGCGAGGATGGACGGGTTGTAGTCAGATGATAACTTTTGTACATTGGGTAGCTCGATTGACTTCGATCGGAATTGACTAGATCGAAAAACAGAAATAGGAAATACGTTTAGTTCAGCACCATACAGATAAGATAAAGACAAATTCAGCATGCTCGAAGCGCGCACACTAAACAATTAAAATCCAACAATAAGAACGGCTTAAGTTCAACTTAATAAGAGGACTATGAAGCAACGGAATATAACAGTAAAGAAAATGTTGAGTAAAAGAATAAAAAAACACAAATGTGAAGAGAAGCAGCAAAATAAAACTGAATCACAACTGGAATTTTGCCATACAGCAAAGACCCTTTTTCCTCCATCGAAGCTGGCTTATATGAAACTGGAAACGCACGTTTTGCGCGGGGAAATATCGGGACGCTGAAAGATGGTGGCACTGTGAACTAATCGCTGTTCATCGAAATTTAGATTGTTACAAAGAATGAACGCAAATAAACGGCATAAAGAGCTAACCGCACCAATGAACACAGCCACACCGCAACTTTAAGCCCCACGCATTTTGAATTGCAGAAGAAAGAAAGACATGCAAATTCATCGCGCTATCCGTTACGGCACCATGGCCGCTCTTACTTTCTGGGTCAAGGCACTTCCCATAACTGAGCATTCTTGTGATAACTTTCTGCGCGTGAATTGCGACATTTAATAGCTTCACTTATTTCTTTCAAAAACCGAGCACCTACCGAGCAAGTCTTCACGACCATTTTTGTCCGGAATCGTGAACACAACTACGACTTCGTGACCATTTTTGCGCAAGGCCTTGTAGACATCCACTCCAAAGGCCGACTGGCCGATCACAGCAATCTTCATCACCTATAATTAATTATTGCTCTATATTTATCGTAATCAACAATTGTGAAGTCGGCAGCACAATATCGGACGAAAGACAGACATATTCCAAAGAGACGAGAACTTGAATAACCCTTGAAAACAGCCGAAGGATGAAGAAGCAGGCGGGCTATGAAGGGACCGGGATAAGAACTAGCCACAGACCCACACATATCCACTTGAAGAGCATCAGGGACAAGAGAGAATGCGCAGGATGAATTTGAGCAGGACTGTATTGCTGTACTGAACGGAAATCTGAACTCTACAGAGAGCTACCTCTCGAACAGTTTGCGGCTTGCAAGTTTGCACGCCTCACTCCCTGTAGGATTGGCAGGCCTACAGATGAAGGACAGCTCTGCGATAGGAAGGCGTCATGGTGATTAAAGGAGTTTATTGTTCAACACGTGACCCCCCCCTCCGTTGATGGTCCCATGTGCAATCTCCTTCAGCCTCAACGGCCAACTGCTTTACATCTCTCGTCCCCTTCCTTACTCCAAACCCTCAGTAAAAAAAGGTAGATAGAGGAGGGGTATACATTACATCAAGAGCAGAGGAAAGAGTAAGATTCTTTATTTATCTAGAAATTCTCGCACCCAACAGAGTTTACATAACAACACGGTGTGGACTGTAGGCCAAATACAACCCTCCCTGGAATGACCCGTCGAGAATTCGGCGAAGTTCGGCTTGGTGGTGGCATTTCACTAATTCCTCCTGCAAAGACCTGTAAATTCCTGGGAAGCTAAAAGCGGGAACTTCGCTCACACCTGACGAAGAGTCCACGGGTCTCACCACGATGAGACGTGTAATTCAACAGCAACCAGCTAAAGAAACTAACGAACGTGCAAAATGCCCTCTCCTACTAAGCCGAACAGCGCCACATTTCTTCAACCAAGGCGACGCCAGCTAGAAGAAAGGCACCTAACAAATAAAGAGGGCTCCAAGCTACAACATCGTGATCACAAAGTGGCAATGCTTAGAGCAACCAAGACCAGAGCGACAGAGCAGTTTGTGAGCTCTACAGTATCCACACACTTTCACCATAACCATTGAAGAGAAGGAACTAATAGTGAGAGCAAATGAATGACATGGATACGAACAAATGAGCTCGTCAATAGGGCTTATCCTGACAATGGGAAACTCCTGACCTCGGATTACTCCATTTTGTTCTCTGTTAACGAGCTTACCTCCCTCCCTTCTATCTACGCTACCATCTGTCCGAATCGCAAATTTTCGCGAGTTGCCTACCACATTTCCATAGTCTCTTTCCGAGATTTTTTCCAGTTTCTCCCCAAGAAGCTGCCGTCGAGCGATGAGGGAAGGGGCGAGGTGGGGGAGGAGGTGCACAGCACACAGGAAATGAAAAAAGCGAGAATAGTCAACAACCAAAAACATTTTACTACCCTCCCCTCCCCCCTACTCGCTGTGCATCCCAAACGTACGGCATGCATCTGGGGGTTTTGGGGGGGGGGGGGGGGTTTGGGGGCGGGGTAGTAATTTCCACGATCGATTCCTGTTACTTCGACTCAAAACTGCCTGATATGAACATTCTGGCTTGGTCACATAGTTTTTGATTGGAAACAATTTTTATGTCCACGTGCATGGTCGTGGACATAGAACGACAAAGACGGGAACGAACATAACGCGATCTGTCAGAATGTGATAAGGCAAAGGAATGGCGTGAGATAGCCGTTATAGGAAGAGCGCAGACAGTCCTCAGAAAATGCAAAGGAAAAGAAGGTGA